GTCAGGTTTAAGAAAAAATTTTAAACAACTGCAACATTTGTATATCTCGACTAATAAAAGCTAACAACTTATTATCCAACTATCAGCCATCTCCGGATGCCTCTTTTGCTAGAGACCCGATCCTAGTCACGTGAAGATCCTGTAACTATAGACTACGTCACATACCATGTCTACCAATAAACAAAACACGTGATTGCATTCCTGGGTACGTCCGAATTTGGGAGGTAAACAATGCCGATCTTTTGGAGGAGGTAAGCCAAATCGCCCACTTTTTGTCGAAAATTTTGGAAAAAAACCGGCCAAGCGAAAAACACCTAGGAAGAGACCACTTGCACCCAAGGAAAGTAGTTACATCCATGTAAAGACTCAACAGCTCCTAAACCTTCTTCCAGGAAAGGGGTGGGGCACCTGTACTCTCTTGTCGGTAAGTAATAAACTCTGGGCTTGTTGGCAAGTAGTGTATGAGAACTACTTCTAAACGACAAGTGCCGTGCAAGCGGTGAGTGAATTTCTATTCATAATTTATATTCATATTAAATTCATAAATCATATTTAATGTAACAAATAACATTGGTTCGATAATAAAAAAAAATGCCTCACAAAAATGATTATAATAAAACTCTAAATAAACTTAAAGCAAAGCTTTGTTCAGACAATATAAATGTTAGTAAAATAAATAATAATGTTTAAAAATTAATTAAAGAACGTAAATCTTTCTTACTACGCACGAGGCAGAGAAACGAGATCTTCAAAGAAAATTATGAATTAGAACACTCTAATTTTAAGAAATTAGAAGCTCAATTTAATTTACTAATTTTCAAAATTACATGATTAGAAAATGATATAGATTTCTATCAAGTTGAAAACAATGAACTCAAAGAAAAATTACAACTTTTTACCAACAGTTATGAAGATAATAAAACAGAACTTGAAAGATATTATAAAGTTATTCAAAAAACTCATTCCGTATTAGAGGGAGTAGTTAATTCTAATAAAATAGATAAAATTCAAATTTTGGACAATTCATAAATTATATATAACTTTACTAATTCTAAATTTATCATCAGATTTGTTGCAGTTAGTAGTTTTACGTGAAGAACTTAGTGAAATTTGTGGAGCTGTTATGAGTAATTTTAATATTCCAGCCGCATACTCAAACCAAAATAATATAGGTAAAATTGTTTATTCTTAAGTATCAAAGTGAGTTTTAAAACTATTATAAAATAAATTCTCTAAATTTAATAGTATTCAATTCATTTGATGAAGCTTTAAGTGCTTCTGAGCCAAAAATAAGTGAAATAAATGAAGGAGAAGAAAATAATAATAACGGACAAATATTTCCAACTTTAGTTCGATCAAACCATTTTTATGATAAAAACGATCAAAATTTTAACACAGATAAATTTGAATTTTAATGTATTGAGTGAAGTTATCTCGTAATTTTTGCAAAATTGAATAAAATAAAGTTATTTTTATGGTGTTTTTAAGATCTTTTGCTAAGCAATTATTACTATAAAATAAGTTGGATTTAATGACTGACTCTGAATATTAAATGAATATACTTGGGCAGACTAAACGTAAAAAAAAAAAAAAGGTACTCATTAAATATGTATAAAATATATTTTTGAATAATTTATATATTGGTCAAATTTTCGACAATTTTATAAACAGACATTTCTTTTCGAATTTAACATAATACAATAGTCATTCTTTGAGTATTTTTATTATTGAAGATACGAACATTAAAATATATTGTTTCTTCAAATTCGCAAACAAATAATATTTTTATATTACAGCTTGACCTTTGTCTATGTCATCATAACAATTATTACTCTCTGAGTGTGATTTAATATTAAAGATACAAACAATGTATAAATGTATTTTTTCAGACTCACAAACAACTAAAGCTTTTGGAAATTGTTAATATTTGAAAGTAGCATGCATGAAAAGATAACTCATTGTATTGCCTCCTTAATAGTTAACTCGAATTATTCTAAATGATATATTACAATTTTTTTCGATATACTTCAGGTTGTAAAATCTTTATTTCATCCGTAAAATATTAAATTAAAATATATTAATTAATTAATAAATTTCACGTTTAACAAAAATGATTCAAATAAGAATTTATATTTATTAGAATGATTAATTGATAAGCCAAATTAATATAAACATTCAACAATAATTTATTGATCATTATTCTCTAAAGAACTATTAATAAAAAAATATATATATTAAAAAGAATAATAGACAAAAAACTCTCATCAGACATTAATGCTTGCAAAATTCAATTGCAATATGAGAGCAATATATAATTAAAGAAAGTACGACCAAGGGATATAAGGACTGATACAAAGTGAGACGACCCTATTTCAGAACTTTAGAAAAGTGAATTATTTAAGTAAATTTAATAAAAAAATTATACACATAGTAGAATCGTAAATCGTACTTCCATATAGCTTTCTTGCAACCTGATGTTGTTAAGTCTATGCGACAAGTTACAGTTTATAATTTGTAATATATTGTTGGAAAACGATTAAATGAAATAGAAAAGAACGGCCCATTGAGCACACAGTCATAAAATCTAAAGAAGAAATCAATCCAGTTTTATAAAATGAAATAAATAAATTTTTTATTTCTCTCGATTTCGATATTAGTAGAATTATAGAAAGAGTATAGTAACCAACTAAGGATGGTCTGGTGTAAAGTGTCCAGATTATGCGATTTCAATTCGGTTTATATTGTTTGATACAATAGGAAAATCGTCAAACTGGACACTCTACTGGACACTCTAGTCTGGTGGCTCACTATCATGACCAGTCCAGTGGGCTCACATAAGGCAATTAAAGATGTTTGGTAAAAAAACAGATTCTTGGTTTATTTCGAAAAAAAATGGAATTGAATTAGCAAAATGTCTTTTCCATAAAAAAGGAAAAAACATTAGTAACCAGATTATACGTGGTATTCAAATCAATAAATTAAATTAAAGTTACTTTCCTATTAACGAAAATAGACTCTACTTTTTCTCAAAAAAAAAAAAAAAGAAAAAGAAAAAGCATTAGTAACAATATAATACATTAATTCAAATAAAAATCAAAATAAAGTTACTTTCCAGTTCACGATTCACGTTCGATTATTCTTTAACATTCTACGTTTGATTACAATATTACATTTAGGTCAGCTTCGACACTTTTCAAATTTTATTATCAAGAAAGTTGACTCTAACAAGTCCTTAGTTCTTTATCCGATTCTGCGGCAAGTTTTCTATCTAGATATCCAAAAAGATTTTCTATGAATTAATAAAATAGAAAAGAACGGCCCATTAAGCACATGTTCTTGACTGGCCCATAGAGCACACAGTCATAAAATCTAAAGAAGAATTTAATCCAGTTTTATGAAATAAAATTATAAACTACAAATAAAATTTTATTTCTCATTTTAGCATTTAGAAATCAATTTTGTTTCTTAATCTGATTTCGTTGTTAGAAATGGCAATTTTTGTTAATTAATTAGTTGAAAAGATCGCCTGACAGCAAATTAATGAGTTTAATAAATTTTATATAGTCTGGAAAAACAACCAATCATGAAGACATCCACACCTTGTGACTGTAAAAATTCAAAAAGTGTCAGTTTAGATGGGTGTTTATTTTCCGATCCCTAACAGTTTTCGACCCAAATCAACCATAATGCAGCCAAAAGACCACTATATGACTGAAAATTTTTACTGAGTGACCCGGGCTAACACCATTTTCTTAGATTCCAACACCTATCTTCTTGATTGGCACCATTTTCTCATAGTACGAAATATAATAAGTAAAATCTTTGACTTTGGAAAATGGTTTGTTTTCATATAATTATATCTCATACTATAGGAAACGATACCAATCAAGAAGTACGGGTTTGGGAAAAGGGGTCATGCATGTTGAAAAAACATCACCAATCGGGATTCAGTTTACCTGTGTAAATTTTTTTTTTTTATCTCAAAGAAATTTATATCTCCACTGAGTTATATCCCAACCTAAGTTATATCCCCATTTTTTAGCAGAATAAATTTCCTATATTAATTTTACTTAATTTATATCCTATTTTATATTAATTTTTAGTTATATCCCTATCCCCAGTAATTGCTAGAGCCAAAAGAATATACATAATATATAAGATACCTAAGATATATCCAATATTTTTACACAAATAATACTATTGGCTAATAAATTATTTTAAAATAATTAATAAATAAATATTTATAAATTGATAATTTTTGATTCGGCAAACTGATCTGGATGATTTTACTACGTCTCAATGAGATAATTACAATGTTCTTAAATTCATCCAAATCCAATAACTAAATTCAGAAATCATCAGGATTTTATCCCTTAAATTGTAACACAGGCAAATTTGCCTGCGAAGATTTTTACTAATTTTTTTAATATTTAAATTTTT